AAAAATATATAATTAGTTGGACTATCATCTTTGCAGTTGGTGCCACAATTTGGTCTTGGGGAGGGAAATATACCGAGTCATTCATAGTAATTATTCTAATTGTGTTGAGTTAGTAGCACCAAAAAATTGCCTGAAGCAGTGCAGTTAGTTCTTATTGGTGGAATGTGCAGATTTAAGGATAAAACTATTTAGAAATGTGATTCTGTCAAGATTTTGAGATTGAAAAGAGATGAACTGTCTGTTTGTTACAAGGAAAACGCCCCATGTCAGTTTTGGTTTTGTTATGCTTACCTTAAAAAAAGCAAGATTTGACATGCCCTAGTTCTAACTAACTCCAGAAGCAACGCATTTAGCCAGAAAGAGTAAATCCTACTCCAGTTGAATGAAACTTGTGCAGATGTGCTGATTAATAGGTGAAGAAAGTGCAATCCAGTCTGCTGGGCAGGGAAGCATGATTCCCCCCATCACCACCACGTCCAAATTCCAACAGCTCTGTTTTAAGCAGGTATTTTGACAGAATTTCTTGTGTTTTTCACATCACAGTTCATAGATGCTGCTTGAGGAAGACTTTAGAAACAGGCTTCATTTTCAGGAGAAGAAGAGAATAATTCCATTAAGTTATTTGTATCACAGTACAGCTAAAACATCCTACAGCAAACGTCAAACCCTCATGCAAAACCTTGCTGTTGAACATAACAAAATATAATCCTTCACTCAAAAATACTCCCTATGATTTAAAAAGATGTAACATGAGAAGGAAAACAAAGAATTACTGTTATTCGGAGACTAGGCAATAATTTGCTGTTGAAATTTCATTTTTTTTTAATAACAAGCTATTACTTTGTACACTGTAGAAATGCTTTTAATATGTTCTGATTGAGACTGAGAAGTATTGTAAATTTTCTCTTATAGCCAAGCTCCATTACCTTATAGCTGTTCAGCCATTTGCAGAAATATCATTTATCTGAACTTGGTAGGCCAACTGAGTGAACAGAACGCTGGTCCTTAATTCACACTTTTGAAATACATTGCATCGATGCACACAGAAACATAAATACTGGTAAACTTTCAGCCGGTACCTCTAAATAGATGATTTTACTGTGGAGTCTTAATTTTTCCAATAGAAACACTTCCTTGATAATTCAAAATATTATTTTTCCTTTAGAAATTCTATACCTTTGCTTTACAAAATTATGTCTCTTAATCTGCAGTTCAGCTTCTGGTTATTTTCCAGGTAAATAACTGAGTGTTTAGAAAGCAAAGGAAGAACAATCCTTAGGACAGTATATGAGTGCAAAGAAAAAAGGTGGTTGGTGAGCTTGGAGCAACCTGAGGCCTCAGTGATAAATCTTCATTCAAAAGATACACATTTCAGAAATGTTTTCTTAAATCTTTGCAGTAACTCTGCATGGCCTCCTTAGTGTTATTAAAAATGTTACAGTGCGAGTGCCAGAGGCAGGCTAATAAATCCAGATCCCCTTTTCTGTCTTAAATCACTCAGATGCTATTGTGAATGGTTGACACATTTTCCTTCATCCTGTTTGGGGCAAGGGACAGCTGAGGTGATTCGAATATTTTTAAAGTAGACATTTCATCATTTCCCAGAGCTTTGGGTTGCAATTATTGCCAACTTTCAGTCTGTCCAACATTTGTTTAATTTCAAGGGGGAAACCAGAATCTTCTGTTTTTCTTCTTTAAAATGTTTTTTTTCACTCAAATGTAGGTTAATCTTCTTTTGGCCTGGGAAATACCTGTCAGGGTTATGCTATCACTAACTTGTAGTTACCATTTTTTCAATTTATGTGCAAATAACATTTATAGTTACAGTCTCTCACTGGTTAATGTAACCTACAGTAGATTTTGATTCACAGTCACTGTGACTGTTCTGTATATTCTGTATATATTTTTTCATTTGTTTCCTGCAGAATTGCTGAAGCTAATTCTGACTGCCAGCTAGAGAAAGCTGCTTATCTTTGCTTCAATAGGTGGATCTCAGATTTTTTTTGAAGACTTTACTTTTTTTTAATCTTGTACCATGATGGGTACAACTTCTCATCATTGGGTTCACCACACATGCATCACAAATGGTGGCTATATAAAATGTTACGGTGAAGTGGAGCTGGACGAGTATTTGGCAAGGATGTTATTACATGTATTGGATCATGTATTGGATCTCAGAATATAATCTAGTCATAGTAAGGTCTAGAAACATTACTAGAGAGAAAAATCTGTGTTTCTGTCTGACTGAAAAATGGTCTGTCTCTACCTGCTTTTGCTGGGCATGGTTTTGTTATTGCTATTACTAGGATCAAAACAAGTCCTGAGTGCTCCATCATGTCGATCTGTGTGTGTGTGTAAATATATATAGAGACCAAATTAATGTATTGTATTTAAGGGTTTGGTAGTATACAAGCAATATAAGTCAGAAATAATACAGTAAGGAAGCATGATTATTCATTCAGATCATTCATTGACTCAAAACCAATCCCTTAAGTTTCTAAGACATAAAGCTGGACCTTTTGGCTCTTGGTGCAAGCCAGGGTTGCAAAAGCTCCAGTGCTGTCCTCCTGCAAAACAAGTCTAGTCGAGGAGTGGAATATGGTGGCTCTGCCACTTCCCTTGGTTTTGAGTCTTGTTTTTGCATTGATGACTCCCTCTCTCAAATTCTTCCAGTTGTGGGTTGTAGTTCACTTGTCTGTTTCTTAGTGGGAGCCTTTCTGTCAGTTTAGAAGAAATGTGTGCATTGGCACTGGGCCATTGTCTAAGGATTTTCCTTCTCCCCTCTCCATCACTGTTGTCAGTGGTTCCCACCGTGTAGGCCCTATTCTGGGAACTTGTACTCTTTTTCCCTTATTAAACACGTCTAGAGCATCTTATTACATCTTCCCTCTCCACATGTCCAAGTCCCGTGAAATTCTGTAATCTCAAAGATTTTTTTTTTCCTTCATGAAATTCCTGAGCAATGGTTAACCTGCTCTGTACAAGTGTAAGCTTTGAAGCAAGTCCTATATTTGGCCCTCACTGTTTATCAAATGGCCTTCAATCAATCTGTACAAGTAATGCTTCCAGTGATGATTTTATAGCTTGGCTTTCTCAACCGTTTAGCTTCTCTTGGCACAACTAACAACATCTGTGTTTCTGTATTCTCTGTTCTTTTCTGCAAAGCATTTACACACTGTTTGAAGTTGCTCAGAAAGGCCTGTTTCTGAAATACTCCAACCAGCAGTCACTGAGGTGTTTTAACTTGAATACAAGTTTAAAATGTCAAACCACTTTATTTTCTAATAAAATGTTTAAATAAATATCCCGGCTACTCTTTGAGCAGCTGTAGTCTCGCATAACTTTAGTGTTGTTGCAATTCTTTGGTTTTCTACTGAGAGAAAGTTTATTTTAATGGACAATATGGGTTAAACTACATACAACTTATAGAGTGTGTATGTGGGAGGGGTTTTTCTACATAAATCTTTGCTTTAGTTTAAAAAATAGTTATTCAGAAAAATCTTTACAAATCACTGCTATTTCTAGCAACTTTTTTCAGTTGAAAATAAAACCATTCAAAACGCTGTTTCAGGATTCTTAAAGGACATGATTAAATAATTTTCATTCTTTTAACCCACTTTTAATTAGTAAACCTGAAATTTTTAAATGAATAATTTGACTTTTGTTCAAATAAGACAGTTCAGGGGAATCCATATTAAGCCTGTCTTTACTTTTCAAAGTATGTGAAAAAACGTTTTCTGTTTCCCTAAAATATTTTTTTTTTTTAATCTAAAGTTGGTACTGCAACTAAGAGCTGGATTTTGCTTAACTTTATTTTATTTTCTTGGTATCTTCATTCTGTTAATCTGATTTCTCTCCTAGTTTGTGAGGAACACAATTAGTATTTGCAAGATTTCACACTTATGACATTCATTACAATAGTAACTTAGAAGAATAATTTTTTATAAAAATCTCTGTGCTGAAATGCTTTGAATGTTTGTATTTGTATTTGTATTTTAAAAGCCTTTTCTTTCCAGTATGTTCTTAACCAAGCTTCCTTAATCATATTTCTTAGCATCAGTCTACTCATGGCTGCATGTACTCTTCCTTTTTTTCCATGTTGTCATCAGATTCTTAGCTCTGTGAAATAGTGTGATGTAGAGATGGCACTGATAATTTGCGTGCTTTTTTGGCACAGTAAGTCTTGTTCTGGACATGTAGGAAGACCTACATAACACCTATCAGATGCTTAGTTGTTATCACAAGAAAACTAAAAAATCAACACCAGAACAACAAAAAAACTCAGTACAAAATGCCTGTAATGTAATTTCTTTTTAAGCATTAGAACCTGTTTCTTATTAGTCAGTGTCAGTCTAACTATGTAGATGTTCAATTTTCAGCCTACATCTGTGCATCATTTGTCTACAGAAAATGATTCCCAGTGCGTTCTTATAACATCAAACAAAATTTTTGAGGGGTTGCTGGTTGGCTGATATCAGAAAAATTAGTACCAATGAAGTTATTGGAGAGAGCGTGAAGCAGATGAGTTGGAGGTGACTTTTGTTTCGTACAGAACTTCTTTAACCCAGCTAAGTCTCACTCTCTACAGACTGAACAGAAAGGACAGGTGCACATGTTGTTCTTCCAGGCTGTGCCTGTGCGATCAAGGGCAGTGGCAGTTACCTACATGTAAAAAAAGAGAGTGCAAGTCATTGGATTTCAAGTTTAAAAAAAAAAAAAAAGTAACAACTGTTGACCCAAAGAGAGGAATCTGCGTGTTTTCCTGTGGTGGTGGTGGTGGTCTTAGGATCGCACAATGCCCTTGACTAAGTATAGTTGTGCAAGAGAGTTTTCCCCTTTGCAACTGTAGGACCTGGAGGCATAGTGAGGAAAAGGTAGTGACTGTAAAGATGTTATGAAGAGAGCTAAACATCTCTAAGGATTCTCAGAGAACACAAGCATAAGTATCAGGAGACTACACTGGGGTTTGCATTTTGTTTTCCTTAACTACTGGTGTTCAGATATTGATCAGTGGAATAAAGTTATTGAGCAGCTGGGAACACCCTGTCCAGAATTCATGAAGAAGCTGCAGCCAACAGTACGGAACTACGTTGAGAACAGACCCAAGTATGCTGGCCTCACTTTCCCCAAACTTTTTCCAGACTCTCTCTTCCCAGCTGACTCGGAACACAACAAACTCAAAGGTATGTCTGAAAAGGGTTTTGGTTCACATGCAACAGCTACAGCTCAGTGAAGGATTTTTGCGATTTTTCTTCTCTCTAGATGCACTCCCATTTAATGCAGTTAATTGCAGGGACAAATGACTACATGGGTTTTGTTCAGTTGAGAGGCTTTTGGAAATGATTTTTGGAGATTCTGGTGCTTGGGCAGCCAAGGGAACTTAATCACTGATGCACTGAGCATATCCCCATGGTGTTCCATGTGATGATTCTGTAAGACGAGGAACTGAGCTGTTATTTTACTCTTATTCTTGAACTTATAATACAAAGGAGCAGTAGAACCTCCATTGGAAGATCTCAGTGTTTGCACTGGGTTTTTTTAGGTGAAAAATATGCCAGATGTCTGCCCCATAACTCTACCTTTACTAGAAAATAGAATGATATTAATAATGTCAACCAAAATGATGTAGCTGAGGTTTAGTATCCACTATGGGTGGATTTCTTCTTTTGAACAAATGCTGTGGGTCAGTTAGCATATGTGAGTGAGAAAACTTTATTACAGTGTGACTACATATGTCCTGTGTAAGAAAAGTTGCAATGATTTTAATCATATATTGCAGTTTTTAATTGAACAGGGTATTGACCTTCAATTAGAAAGAGCAATTAATGTGTGTTTAGTGTAGAAAGGACTTCTCATCACAGCTCTGGACCCCCTGCAAACTTGTGCTGTGAATCAGCTGTGCCCCACTTGGGTCCTTGGAGCCACTTCCTACAGTGGCATGTAACGGTTTTCAATTGCCTGCAATTTGCATGTCATTACATGGCCCAGAATTTTCTTCCAATTAACAACTGTTTCATAGCCAAGCTGCTGTCTTGGCTCTGGGAGCAAAGTGAAATGTCTGAGCAGATGCTTTTGGATACACAGGATTTCATACTCCTACTACAACATAACCGAATAATGGATTTTTTCTGGATTTGCAATTAATGAATAGAAATTACTGTCAAACAGTGCTGTTATCTTTTGGTTACAGAAAATACATACATTTAGCATTATAACATTGATGTTATAATGAATGCCAGTTCTTAAGATATAGTCACAGAACAAGAAACAGTACATTAGGAAAAAAACCCCACTTGTGCAGCATTGTATCATCCCATGTCCTGTCCAAATATTTCACCATAATGTAATGCTAGTGGTTTAATGAGATCTTGCTTTTACTCACTATGTGTTGATCCAAGGCTACAGATTTGAAGTTATTGCTTCTAATGGAGTACCCTAAGATCAACCTAGTATCTATACTTCTTTAAGATATGTAATTTTAATGGATGAAAAAAGCTAACTGAAAAATTTTAAAACATGCAGAGAAGTTTGGATGTTTTCCTGAGCGAGTAAAAGAGTACCTGTAAGTATCAGGCTTTGATTTGGTAATGCCATGATTTTAGACTTCATTATGAGAACTTTGGTTCTCTGATCCTGTAATAATCACAAATACATCAAGACATTTTTCTTAGGTATGTTATTCAGCCTTCTGCATGAAATGCATGTAAAATCTCATTGAGGCTTGTTAGGGAATTTACAGTGTGCAGCCCTGATGTTGGCACCTTCCTAAAGAATCCAACCTGAAATGATTACTGAAGAACACTTGTTGTAAGAAGGCAAGGGTGCAGAAGTACATACAAACAGTCTCTAAAAGGGTTGTGCCATTGTTATTTTCCTAACCCAATTAACCCTCCTCTGGAGGCAGTGATTGTTTTGTACTAACTCTGTGTTTCTCTGATTTCATTGTTCTAGCCAGCCAAGCCAGGGACCTTTTATCAAAGATGCTGGTCATTGATCCGGCCAAGAGAATATCAGTAGATGAAGCCTTACAGCACCCATACATTAATGTTTGGTATGACCCAGCAGAAGTGGAGGCGGTAAGTGAGGTGGAACTCTACTTTCAGACTGCTAAATGCAGATGTGATTCATAGATGCCTACTGCTTTACAGCAGCATGATAATGAGCATGCTACAAAGAAATGATGTTGTGACTGTGGTGATCTTGGGATTTATGTGAAATGAGATCTGTAGGGACAGGATAGCTTTCTTTATTACATTAACTGATAATAGATGGGAGAAGCAAAAACTCTTCAAGCATATGAAGCCCTGTTCTTCTTTCTTCTGGATAAGATGAAGAAAGGATTTTGAACACAGTATCTCATCTGTTTTTTATAGCTATAGAACTCAATCTGGCAAAAGATACTATCTTTCTCTCTAAACCTTTCCTTGTGGAAAATAGCAAACATCACTTCGTGTGTTTGTGTTCAAGGATATATGTGGAGAGGAGGAGAATGAAACAAAACAATACGAAATCCTGAAGTCAGCATTGAGAAAAATCTTAGCAGACATAAATTCTTCTTTAAAGTGAAGCAAAGGCTCGTGCGTTTTCCTGGGCTACAGTTCAATGTACAGTGTACATTGTATGCAAACAGAAATGAAATTTTTCTTATCATTCTGTCATGCTCTAGACACTTCTCTGTACACCTTAGTGAGGCTGTTGTCGACAGGAATAAGTGCAATCTGTCAGCACATCAGTGACATGATATAATAAGTATAAATACAGAGAGGTGCTCTAAAGTACTGTGCATGAAATGTAGGAAAATAGAGCTCAGTATTTCAACAGGTTTAGAAATCTTAACCACAATAGGAAATGAAGACCCTGCAGAATTAAATCACTGCTTTTTAGTGATGTGCTCCAGTTTAGTGTGCTTTCTTGAGAGTGCAGTAAACTTCAAAAGTAAACAGAATGCACAAACCCCCACCAAATTTCAAGCACAGGGGATTTTTGTAGAGGATATTACTTATCAGTGCTTTGTAGAGCTTGGTTCTGCTATTTAGAGAACCTTTAGTTTTGTCCTCTTTAGTTTTCTTCAAGAAAAAAGTTTATAAGCCTAAAGAGTAAACATTTGATACCCTGCAATATTTTACTCCCCAGTACATACATTTTATTTTCACATCCCTTTGGAAGATCTCATTTCATTGCTACATACTTTTATTGTATTTCCTTGCATTTCTTAATTTTATGAAGTACTCTTGACATCAGAGCTTGGAATTGGCTCCATTTATAGATATGTTTTGCCTGTGAATTTAACTTCTGATGCAGAACAGGAAGGGAACTTAGGTACAGTGGATATCTTGTTGTAAGATTTGCCCAGTTTCCAGATGTATGCTCTTAGTTGTACTTCAGATTGAAGTAGAAGTTGAATTTTTGCCCTGCATTTCATTGCATTTATTGCAGTAAATAACTAGAGAAAATCAAACTGTCATTGCTTCCATAATACCTCAAAGAACAGAGAACATCCTATGAGCAAGAAACAGCACCCTTAAGTGTTCAGCTTCAAGTGCTCAGTGTTGTCCTACTTATTTGTAGTTTTCATCTTTGTCTAAATGGCTTCTTTTTAGATAAACCTTTGTTCTCCTTGCCCCCCTGGTTCTTTGCACAGTTATTGAGTAGCTAATATGAGCTCAGCATGAGCATCCCCAGCTGCTTTCTCTGTCTCTTTTAGCTTCAAAGTTTTCTCTTCCAAAATGTGCTATGTCTTGTCAATAACATACTATAGAATCATTTCGTCATACTTGGACAGTGAAGTGTTATTGAATTGCTTTGTCCCCAATCACCCTGTGGTACAGAAACCCTTCTTCTCTTAGCAGGTCAAAAATCAGGAAGGTTCAGGTTATGTGCAGTGCCTAAACAGAAGAATATGGGATTAATATTTGATGTATTTTGTCAGAGTGCTCAGAATTCTAGAAAGAGCCTAGCTTCACTTACCGCTCATTATTTTGCCAGTCTCATTTTTGGAGGGAAGGTTAAATTTAAAGACTTTCTTTTCACAATTAACAGTTAATTAAATTATAAATTTCCATCTGTTCATGCTGACACACCTTCAGTGGTTAGCTGTGAATCATTTAGTAATTATTTTCTGGAGAAAACTTAGTTGGATTTTCTCTTCCTCTTGGTTCAGCTGTTGAACTGCTGTCAGTCAGTGTTTTCCATCAGTGTTGTCTCCATGATGGAATAAGTTCCTCAAACAGATTCGTGGGAGATCAGTGGCTTTCTGTTCTTCCTCAAAAAGGTGTCCTGAGGGACTGATGGGCAGCACCTCTAGAAAGAGTAGATGTTGTTACATTGGAAAGAATCCTTTACTTGTGCATTCGTGTTACAATTTGGCGCTTCTGGCTGAATGCTTGATGTCTGACTGGCTGTTAGTTCTTTACAAGGCAGCAAGGTACCTATATGTGGTGAACTTGTTTGTTGGTAATAAAAGTGATTTAGAGCTTCAAGCATGAGGTAACTTGTTTCCTCCTGTGAAAAGCTGTGTTGATGTGCACAACAGGTTGTGTCCATCTGTCTATGACCTTGGATCACAGAACCCAGGAAAACATCCAGAAACCTCTTGAGTATCTTCTAACACTTGCATCCAATGTCTTAAATGATTACAGTTTTTTTGCAGTAGTTAATATTATGATGTAAACCCAGGCTCTGCATTGTGCAACTTTCTTTCTTATTCTTCTGTGTTACTTGTTGCAATCTTGTATTTAAAAGCGAATTGGATGGAGAATTGAATTGATATCACAAGAGTCTTTTCATGTCTCTCCCACAAATGCTCTGCTGAAACATCTGCCTCGTTACAGTTGCAGAAGAGTCATGCTCAAATTCAGTAAACGTTCTCTAATGCCATTAATTAAGTATGCCATGGGCAAGGGGGAAATGACTGCCATCTCCTGTATTTTTGTTAGCTCTTGCCAACTTTATAGCAGGGATAGGAGTAGGTACTCATTTAAAAATACCCAACAAATGAGCTGTTTGAGAGGTAGGCACTTCTATTGATTCACTTAATAATCTGATTGTGATTTTGTCTTTAATGAACAGAACTGCAGAAGTTATAATAGGGTACAATTGCACAAAGAGGTAGTATTTGAATGACTTGTCAAAACCTAAAAATTGTTATCTAGCTCACTAGTGTTATATTTGCAGCATGATGAGGCTCTATGAAGTGACCCTCACAGACTGCCCTGCAAGTGTGCAACCAGGTAACCTGACAAGAGAGCAACAGGAAAATTAGTGATGGAGTTGCCGCTTTTGGTCACTTGCATTGTGGTTAACTGCCTACTATTTCTCCTGGTTGCCCCACTGGGATTTAGAAGCCTGCGGTGACTTACACCTGCCCATGTTCACTGCACTTTTATTTTATTATAACACTTAACAAGTACTTTTACACAGAGTGAAGTGTTTTGTCATGTAGCTAAAGGTTTGATAGAGGGATATTTTGGGGTTTTTTTAAGTTTTCCTCCCATATTGTAACATGAGACAGGATTCCTTCTGCTGTCAGTAACCCTGTACAGTAGGGATAACATAGAAATTAGGATACGGAGGTATTAAACAAGATGACATTTTCAGTCAGTATAGTATTGGGTGGGGGGGAGTTAGTTAATTCCACCTTTCTAGTTAAATTATTCCTTCTCCCCGGTAAATGGCTTCATCAAAAGCAGCCAGGCATCTGTTGTACACTGCCCACTTCATTCAGAGGCCCAGGAGGAAAGGTAACTGAAAGCATTTAATGTGACAGGAATTTTGAAGCGAGCTGTTGCAGTGTCATTAAATGTCAGTGTGTGCTGGAGTAGACAGTGAAGAGCACTGAAGTCAGCTCAGCGAATAAGCAGAGAATTTGGTGTCAAAGTTTAACCTGGAGGTAACAACTCTCCATGTCTGCCCAGATTTACAGCATTATAAATGTGAGGAAAACAGATTAAATAGGCCTGTCCAGACTAGTGAGACAGTTACAATCCCTTTTTATAAGTCTATTAAAAGTTTATGGTCTTTCAGAGGCTGTGTGGGGGGCAATAAAACTATTATGTCTCCTAATGGGCAAACACTGTGCACAAATGGGAAGCAATAGGGATGCAATAGCCTTTCCCCTGCAATGTGTAACAGCATTAAACTCTTCTGGTTGGCCTTAAATGCCATGTTATGATTCCCTGATACAAAGAGGAGGACAATATGTTATTAGATGTGGGACTTGCTATTCACTCATAGCAGGCTACACAAACAGTGCTGCAACTCTCCCACAGACTTCTGCATAAAAACAAACCACATCCAAGACCCTGGATAGCTCTGAAGCAATCATCATATTGACATTTAGAGCCCTTGCACAGTTTTTAAGCTTACCTGTGGAGTGAGTGGGTAAGGTAAATTTTGGGTTCAGAGGATGTCTAACATATATAAAGTCAACCACTTCTTTTGAGCACACTCAGCCTGCTACAGTATCTTTGATAAAACAGTCACGGTGTTAGGTTCTCCAGAGCACACATCATTGATCTGCAGTTATTTTGAAGAGTGTTATAGTTAAGATAACTTCTGTATTCAACCATTTAAAAAATATGAAAACTACAGATAATCTTTGTTTATAATTCTGTGGAATTCCCAAGATTTTAGGAACTGTTGAAATCTGTTGTCAACCTTCACACCTAATTTATATGTAGGAAAAACAGTTCAAAAGGCAAAGGTATTATTTACTAATATTACACAGGAAATCTATTGTAAAATCAGAATAGGAACATATAAACCTTACTTTTGTGTATTATATTTTATTTAAAGATCCTTCTTCCTGCACATTACATGCAGAAACCATCTCGAATCCAACAAATATATTTATTACTTTCATGTTATGATAATTATTTTATCTATTATAACAGCATTTGTGCTATTATAATGAATAGAAGACACACACAATACCTTTTCTCCCTCAAATTGCTTTTGTTCTATTTTTAGGAAAGAGGTTTTCAGTGTCTCTTGTCTCTACATGTAAACTATCCTATTTATTGTAGATAATCTCAGTATCTCCCTGAAGACATGTTAACTTCTCTGTTTTCCTGTCTGA